CACCATCATTTATAAATTGAAATGAATAATTAACATAAAATTTAATCATTAATAATTATGATTATATAATCAAAAATACAATATTAATAATGGATAAATTATCTCAAAATCCTAAAATTTTAGGAAGCTATAAAAGATACAACAATTAAGTATGAGATCTTTATTCAATTATAAATATAAACAAATTATACTTCTTATTTAAATGTTCTTTTAGATACTAACTAGAATTTAAGTTTTTATTTTATTTTTTTATTTTAAGAATGGGTCCATTATACCAGAAGAAATATAAATATGTAAAGTTACCAAATTACATTAAATTTTGTGTACCATTAGGATCATATGGATTAATTCCCATGATTGGACCCAACAAAGGAAAACTCGTGATGCAGTAAATTGCGTTGAGGTTCTCCATGTGTCCCAAGGCATGACATTTTGGATTCGCCGAAGAGCTTTCTACAATCCTCCTAAAAATATGGGCGAATTTTCTCAGTCATCAATGAAAATTATTTTTACATCAACGCCGCCATTACGAGCATGCTGTAACAGATTCTTTCTGAAATTACATGTATTAAAACTTCACCACAATAAATACAAGTTGTTTTCTTTTATCCTTTTTTTCTTCTTCTTCATGTATACTCCAAAAATATCTTTCAGCTAACAATCAATAATTAATTCGTTTTAAATGGAAAGTTAATAAAAGTGAAAATAAATGGCTTAATAAAGTTTTTCTTCTATAGAAAAATTGGAAATATATTCTAATTAATATTTTCTTTGGAATTCAACTATATATATAGATCTATCTTTTCCGAAATTTGTTCACCTTTCAGTTCCTTAGTGTACATTGTCATTGTCATCTCGTTCTGTCGAAGTTACCGTTGAATATGCTTGAGGAATGAGGAAAGAATAAATGGTTGCTTGCAACTATGGAATTGGTAAGTGCTTGAAAACCAGAGTGCTTTTGAAACAGAGAAGTGATTGCTCCAATGTAGTTTAGGTGCGGCTGGTCTCAGCATTTAGGGATAGAGACCAGTTACGATCCAATAGTAAATACAGTGTTCAATACATATTTTTGAGTAGAATGTAAAGACTTATTATAATATTCCATCCATTCAATTTTGTTTCACGTGATAGTAGCAAAAAAGATAATTATCTCATTTTGATTTTAATTTTACAATGCAATAAGTAGTGAAAGTGTGTTAATAGTATAACCTTATTGTTATTATTGTAATTTTTGCTAATATTTTTTTTACAATACAATAAAGTATTAATATATATTTATTTATTATATTTTTAACTATTAATTCATTATAGATTGAGAAAATATAAAAAGACTGTACATGAGAGAAAATCTAATATATTATAAATTATATAATGACTTTTATAAAATGTAGAATATGATTACATTTATTAATACGTATGCAAAAATCTTCAATGAAAAGAAGTGAGTATCATCTAATCAAAAGTCGAAAGTGTGTTTGCTTCTATACTTTTTTATAAGCGCGTCTACTTAAAATTCACATCACATGGCCACAAAATACGTAGAGGTTACTTCTTTCTAATTCGAGTAATAATGTAATATGCGTCCTTTCTTATGATGCAAAACCAAACATGCATCACTGCATTAAGATGTGTTTATAGGTGTAAAACAAAAGCTGACAGCCCAAAATCAGCATTTGGAGAGTTCCCTCTCTTCGGAGAAATATTTAAAATGAGTTTATTCATTGCTAAAGATAGTATGTAGTATATTTTTGGAATAATATTGGTTAATTAGCATTTTTGTCAATTTCATTTTTTTTTTTGGTCTTGTTCAAAGTTGAAACTGTGGTAGTGCTATTCCTAAAATAACATTAGACCAATAAATCATATGTATTTTTCTTAATTTTCCAAAAGCATTGGGAACATCTTCGAATCACATGGTTTGCATATATACCACACATTTGAGGGAAAGGGTTTGGAATATGAAGTATGCTTGCAGCATGTGTTCACTTTAACTACTTCAATAATATATGATGCTTGGTTCATGATGTAAAGTATATGCACTCAAATTGATTAAACAGCTAGCCTAGACTAGAAAGCATCCAACTATGAGTCTTTTGCGTAAAGAATATAATCTAACTTATGTTATGGTATCATTCGAGAGTAGACCACTTTACATTCCAAAAAGCTACTATGCATGCCTTTGGCACTTTCCTAGATTTAAAGCTAGATCCTGATCAAGACACTATTTTCCCATGTTTCCAAGATTGTAATCTAAAATGTAGGACAAAAATATTATCCCTGTTTATATCCTTAAGAATGATGAAAGCTTACCAATAAAAATTATAGCTCAACATGTGACCATGGAATGTTGGGCAAATTCTATCCTTTGGAAAGGGAACATTTATTAATGCTTCATTTTTTTTTTTATAAAGAGAAATGAATGCTTCATTAATTTTGGTTTCATCAATTGTTTTTTTTAGGGCTGCATGATATTGATAATTATTATTAGGAGAAATGTACGGCTTGCATATTATTTTTCCTATTATATATCCTAAGTTATATTGCAATTGATTACGTTGACCCTGGTTGAAAATACGTTTCAAGAGGAGAATTTATTCATTTTCGATATCAATATATATATACCCTGGTGAGAAGGGAAAAATGTATTCTTAAGTCGTACGTACGATGCAGGAATTACAATTATGTGTAGACATTTTAAAATATCAGAAAAAGTTTGTGTTTCATTTCATGATAAATTTGTTTCCAAAACTCCACTTCCGTAAAATGATGAATTGCAAGCCTTACATATTTTCCTTTTCGCCGTGATGAACGCATGCATGTATTACGCCATCTTTATAAAACGAATAAGGAATTTCTTATACATCTGTCTGTGCAATTTGTATGAGTGGGTGTTATATACATTCCCTCTATAAATAATAATTGTTATATTGCATAACAATATTTTTGAGAGTAATGTTTTTAAAAGTTTTTCAATGATAACTTTTTTATGAATTTTTCTTAACTTTTATCTTACAAACTATTTTTTTCATCTTTATTTTTAAATTATTTTTTTATATTTTAAATAATCATCAATAGTTAAAACTAATATTGTATCAAAATATAAAATGTTTATGAATTATAATTCTAAAATTATGTATATATATATATATATATTCAAATTTTTATTTATTTTAGATTTCAATTATCATATCATTAAAGCTTAAATATGTTTTAAGTTCTTACAAATAAACAAGTTTTGATTCTGGTCTTTATAAAAAAATTTCTTTATTTTTCATCCCTCTAATTTTGAAATATGTTTTTATTCCTTACAAATATATAATCTTTTTTAACTTCTTATATATTCATTAGAAAGTCAAGTATCCATCTTAGGTGGTATTTACAAATATTTGTGATACTTTGTCAGTGAATGAAACCTTTTAACAAAATTTATAAATTCTTAAGATATATTATTTATATATCTGATCATTAAAAAAATAATGACTTTTGATTTTAAAAAGGATGAAAATTTAAAAAAAAATAATTTATAAAGATCAAATTTTTTTTTTCATTTTATGAGATTAAAAATAATATTTAGAAATTTTAGAAAGATGGTATTTTTTTTTACAAGAATCAAAATTAAAACTCGTTTTCACATAGATTAAAAATATACTAAATTTGTCATTAATAGTAAAAAAAAAATTAAGACAACTTTTAGTTTTTTGTTATAAAATCAAAGTAAAATTTTATAGTAATAAAAAATTTATTAAAAAGGCCTTGTTAATGTTATTGTTTCATAAAATATCGTTTCTTGGGCCGTATACAATATCTTTGTTTCTAAGAAAAAGGTTCATGATATATACACTCCTTTTTTCTATAAGTACACCTCCTTTTAAAAAAAATAATTAAAATTTTAAAATATTTTTAATTTTTTGTTTTAAATTTTTTAATTTTATATCTACAACATTTAATTTATTACTTTTTTTTTACACATCTTTCCTCCTTTTTTCAATTTTTACATGCACCCCCTTATTTTTCCTTTACTTCACCTATTTTGGTAACATGTAAAAATTGAAAGAGAAAAAAAAAGTGTGTAAATAAGAAGAAGAAAGTAGCAAATTAAAAGTTGAAAGTGTAAAATTAAATTTATTTAAAAAAATTATAATTTTTTATAATTTTTTTTTTAAAAAATGAGGTGTACTTATAAAAAAAGAGAGGTGAATATATCATGAGCCTAAGAAAAAATGCAGGTATTTGAAACATGGTTGGGCCTTAGAATGTAGCTATTTAGCTTGGGCTTCATCGTCTTTAGCGACATATGCTTCAACTAGGCTTGCTAACTAGGAAGTGGGAAGGGGACTTCAACCTGCAACTGTGGATTGAAAACTTACTATCTATAAGTGATTCTCTCAGTTGGACATGGATTTGTTTTCTTAGTAACTTAATTAATTTTAGTTCGATATTTTATTTCATTAAGAAATTTTTTTTAACAGTATTTCATTTAAGAATTCTTACTATTACGTTATAACGGCTTTCAATTAATTCTAACTTCTTAAATTATAATTACAATTTTTTTATATAATTATTATGATTTTGTAGTTATAAGGACTATTTGAGTATTTGGGGGTAAACTGTTTGTAGTTGGAACATACGCAATAATTCTCTATCTACTAGTACTAAGTGGGTCTTTGTTGGCAGCTCCGGTATGTTATTGGTGTTCTATTTGATAATATTGGGAGTGTTTTTCATTCTATCATTATTTACACCAAAAAGAAATATATATTACATGTCCAAGCAGGAAAACCCAAGTGAGTTTATTAAGTTTCATAAAATAATTTTAAAAAAACTACATGATATTATTTTGGGATACACGAATATCATAATTCTTCTTGATACTTTATAAAAAGAGAATAACGGAGAAAAAAATATATGATATTTATGTACCTCAAAAGGGGGTGTATGGGTGAAAAGAAAAATATAAAGAAAAAAAATAAAGAAAGAGAGAGAAAATAAAAAATACGGTAATAATGTAATATTACTAATGCATTAATAACAAGTTTACATCAATCACAGAAAGCCTAAAGAGAAGCGTTCAACTAAGTACCCCTACATTATTCCACTCCTATATAAAAATTATATGAACTTGTCTATTCAACTAGATGCATAGCAAAACATAAAATAGGTCAACCAAATATATCTTTCCCGTAGAAAAGATTATCGTATGTGTCAATAAAACAAAAAAGTTTTATCATGATTTTGCATGGAATCCACTCCAACCCCAAAGGTAGCTTGATTTGGCATGACACATTTACTAAACTGGTTAACATAATCTTCAAAACGTTCACCAAAGTCCCATAAACTAAACCACGAATCATCATCATCATCGACGATAGTGTTTGGCCACGTGGACGAGAATCCCTCAATCTCATGCATCAAAGGAACGTGGTATTGGTGCTCTATTGTTGGGTACAAGAAGCCCATTTCTTGTTGCATATTGTTTTGTGTCTCAAAGGTTTTTGTTTGGTTTTTGGTCTCTTCACGAGACGTGATGCTGACGATATGAGGTTGTTGTTGCTTTTGTTTCAACACCTTTGGTTTTCGCCTTCCGAGCTTCTTCTCGTGTTTGGATCTCTCCCTCTTCTTCCCAAAGTGGGTTCTCCAATAGTTCTTAATCTCGTTGTCAGTTCTACCTGGCAAGTACTTTGCTATAGTAGACCACCTGTAGTTGTAAATGGTAAATAATACTTAATAACAAGATTGAGATTAAGAAGAAAAAAAGGAGGGAAGGGACTACTAATTACTTGTTACCCAAAGTTGCATGTAGTTCGATAATGGTTTCTTCTTCCAAAGGTGTTAATTGACCTTTCTTGAGGCCTGGCCTCAAATAATTTACCCATCTTAACCTGCAGCTTTTGCCGCTCCTATTTAATCCTGAAATTCAATTAATTAAAGGTGAATTAATGGTTGAGGTAGCAGAGAAATATGTAAAAAAGAAAAATGTATACATACTTATTTTTTTTATCAATCAAAAAGTCTTGTAATACAAGTCAAAGAAAATAACCATGAAAAATCAGTGTAAAAAAACTATGAAAATTTCACTTACATGAGTAATTTTTTTAATGAGGAAATGGTCTGATTGACTTTTGTAATAATTAACTTAAAAATCATATCTATTACAATTTTTAATTGATCGCTGAAAGTGTATTTTTCTTTTTTTACATTAAATTGAAAATGCAAAGAAATTAAACTTGTTTTTATACCACAACATTTACCATTTACTTTATATATATGTTGAATTTATCTTCTTTTTTTTTTCATCTTATATTCTATCATTATTTTGCAGCAATTCAATCCAATATCCTATCATACACGATTGCAAGGTGAAATATGAAATCCTTCAAAGCGTGAGACTTGTTATCTATTCTGAAGTCATAATATATGTATAGGACAATAGAAATGAAAAAAGTGGAGTTCAACCCTTTTCTATTTGTTAATTTCCATTTTTCACTGTTCTCCTTATTTTTCATATTCATTCCTATTGCACTTCTGTCGTAGGTACACAACCTTAATAATGTAGGAGGGGGTGCAATTGATCGTAAAATGTTCATAATATATGGGAATCAAAGTGTAAGTTACATGATATACCTGTATACTTCGAAACCGAACTCCACCTACCCTCTCCATGCAAGCAAACATATTCAGTTAGCAACTTGTCCTCTTCACTAGTCCAAGGGCCTTTCTTCCACCCTTTCTCTGTTGATAGGGAACCCATCATAGTAACCATCATTTCACATTAACTTATTCGATATGATGCTTCTTATATCATGCTCCATATTTATACCATGATTTAGTGGGCCATCTTAATAATTATCAAATAGGTATTATCATTGAGAACTTTGAATCTAATTTTTCCTGTCTTTACTGTGATGTCAGCTATCCTCCACCCATTGTTTGAGTCGTCTTGGAGTTAAACGTGAAGCTTCACGGCTTCATTATTACCTTCTCAATGAGAATGGAGCAAGTGGATCAATCAAATCTTAAGTATCCGTACTAGAATATAATAATTAAGTACAAGAAAAATGCTAATAACATTTTCTCTAACACTCTTTTTTATTTTGTTAGCTAAAATTTATCAAATTTTTTAATTTTAATAAGTCTCTCTTCAATCACAAACTCACTACAATACAAATTTTTTTTAACAATATTTAAAAAATGTTACTTAATTATGAATTAATTAATGTTAACATATTATCATATGTTATATATAATTCATGTTGATAAAGATTTTTAATAACATTTTTATACAATTAAACAATATTTTCAAATATTACCAAAGTAATATTTTTATAACATTTTAATGATATTTTTAAATTTTATAAAATAATAATTAGATTTAATATAGATGTTTCTATTAATTATTGTACTTTATGTCTCCTAAATTCTTATAAATTTTTCAAGAGAAGGTTAAAGACATTCTTAATTAGTCACCACTAATTATATATCGAGTATTAAAATTCATTTATTTTTAAATATAATTATATGATCATATATACTCTTTATGGATCATTCATTTACTTTATGTGTGACTTTAATTATGAGAAACAATTATAAATTATAGAAATATACTTTTTATATCATTTTTTTATGTGAGACTTTAATTTTAGAAGTAAATAAAAGGAATAATATTGAGATAAAAAAATGTTACTTATATATATAGTAACATTTTTCAGAATAATATTGCAAAATAACCTATGTGATATTTTTTTACTTGATATGATACTTTGATTTTGAAAAGAATAATATTGAAATAAAAAGATATTATTCTATTTATAATAATATTTTTCAAAAAATATTATAAAATAATTTATTTATTCAATTTATATTAACATTTTAACAAATGTAAGGAGAAAAATGATGCTAAATAATTTAAATATGGTAGTGAAGAGACGTGAGACGTGAGATTACGAAAAATTATGATTTTCATTTTGCAATGAAACTTAGTTAACAGTAAAAAAAAAAAAAAAAAGTGTTAGTAAGCATTTCTCTTAGTTACAAATATTCAAAGCGAAAGTAAAATGGTTCACGAATGGACGACATAATCTTTAACATTAGCAAGCACAAAAAAAAACTGAAGTGCGTTGTTGTTCCCTTGAAAGTGGCTATTGATTCAATCCTAATCTAACAGGTGTATGATTAAATTAATCCCTAATTCAGGATTTAGATTACATGAAGATTGATTATTGTTAGAATAATTTTGTAAAGCATGCCTTATTTTGTTTCATTTTTGTTTTCTACCAACCTTGGTTGTGTGCTTTAAAATTGTTCAATGAAACTAACCATTTAATTTTCAGCATAGGATTCCAATTAAGGTATAATGGGGGACATGACTTTGTCAAAGTTGAGTCACTAAGTCAACACGTGGCCTTCCTACTGTATTTAGAAGCATATTGGTATGTTATAGAACATTGTTTAATTGCTTAATCCATATGACAATGGAAGGGGTTTTGCCCATAAATAGGTATTGATAGCAACTGAAACAATTGAAAAATGTAAAGGTGTTCGCAAAAGATACAAGGAAACTTCAAGATCTTCTAAAGTTTCTTAGGCCTTGGTGGTATGGGATGCTTGATTTGATAGTGCCGAAAGATAATGGAAAGCTTTATAGATCTTCGTTTAAGAATTTACCATTCAAAATAAACCATATTTGGTGGCGTTTAGGTGTACGTGTTACAAGAGAAGATTACGATCTTCGTCGCCAAATCTATAATTTGGAGTGGAATGCATAATATCACTTCCAAAATCTATAAATAAAGTTTCATACTAAAATAGATAAGATATAAATAAAGTTTCACATTACTAAAATAAGAAAAAAAATATAAATTTATAAGCACAACATAATCTGACCTTTTTTATGATTAAAAGAAATTTATGAGTTTAAGTCTAAAATATATAATATCATACTAATATAGATACTGATATAGAGATATGTATGAATTTTCGTTGTACAACAATAACATACTCCTCTAAAAAATAAGACAACATATCAATTAACTTAACACATCACAAAAAAATATTACATATAGTGATATATAAAAAATATCACTATAAATATAATGTATATATATATATATATAATTCTATTTGATTATAATTATACACAATTTTAATTTTGATTTTAAATGAGATTCAATAACATATATTATGTATCATTATAGTTTATACATACAATTTTTTTTAATAATATACACTACAACAAAAAGAACTTTTGACAATATTTAAAAAATGTTACCTAATTGTATTTAAATTTTGTTAATTTACTTTTGTAATATATTATCAAATATTATATATAGTTTATGTTGTTAAAGACTTTTAATAACATTTTTACATAATTAAGCAACTTTTTTTAAATGTTATTAAAATGGTATTTTTGTAACTAAATAGTATTGCTAAGTTTTAGTTAACTAAATAAAATAATTAATTTTAATATAAATATTGATATCACTTATATTTTATTGTTCCTGATTTTTTACAAGTTCTTTAAAGTTGAAGATATTCTTAATTAATTATCACCAAATTTATATCAAATATCAATGTTTATTTATCTTTATTATCACTCCATGATTATACATACTAATTATGTGTCATTCATTTATTTGATGCAAAATTTTAATTTTTGAAAATAATTAGAGATGAAAGAAGTATATTTTTTATTGACATTTTTTACTTGATGTATATAACTTTGATTTTAGAAACAATTAAAAAATATTACTTTATTTATAGTAATATTTTTCAAGAAAAAAGTTATAAAATAACTTATTTACTCAATCTATAATCAATTATACCAAATGTAAGTAAATAAATGTTACGGAATAAAATATAATAATGATATAAATATATATATTTTATTTATAGTATAAATAAAAAATAATTTTTAATGATAAATATTGTATTTTATGTAGGTTGACAAAAAAAAAAAAAAATTTGTCGTGACATTTTCTTTATAAAACTTTTGACAGTTTATTCAGTGATTTTTGTTATCGTATAGGATGAATATGCTAACTTTCCTGCAGTTTGTCACCATATATGTCCTTAGCGCTGAGCATAGAAGATTACATCGCCAAGCATGCCCTAGCTAGCCTCAAAATGTATCCAGCTATACATATGATGATATGTTTTTTATAAATTATTCCATAATCTAGGATCCATGTGTATATGCTTGTATACAATTTTAATCTTTATTTCCGTACATTATTAATTCTTTACGCATAAGCAAATTAGCAAGAAAAAAAATTATATATCTATATCTACAAATAATTCAACAAAGGCCCTACACAAGTACAAAATGCACATTTGACGATAAAATTCTACATTGGTTGTGGAGGAGCCAATGTAAAATAGGAGATAGTTAAAAATTAAATTGACGTAGAAAAGCACATTATAACGAATATTTTCTTTCTCGAGCTTTTTGCTTGTGGTTGATTGATTGTTAGTTTTGATTCCTTTTTGCTTGATGTTTAAGATTAGCTTATATTATGTTTGTATTGATTTGGGTATCTTTTACATGTCTAAGTGTTCATTAAAATGCATAATGACTTTTGTTAGTTTGATATCTCACTGTTAGTTTTATTTCATCCTTAGTGGTACTTAAGTTTAATGAATTGTTGTGCTTAAGTTTAGTGGAATGTTTCAGTGAGGTGGTGAAGTTTTAGGGTAATATTTTTCAATCTTAATTAGCCTAAATTTAGTATATTGTTTTAGTGTCTAACTAAGTTCGTGAGTATTTTTGGAAGAAAAAAAAGTTTAGCAGTTATTTAATTTAATATAATATTTATTTAAGCTAGTCAAAATTTATGTTGTTATTTCAGATGAAAATTAGTTATTACTTTTGTTAATAAATATTATTTCGTACTAATATTATAATTAAAAAAATAAAATCTATGTTATTATAAAATTATAAATTAAAATGTTAGCATATATACATACTTACTAAATCAAAAACTTAGAAAACCTTTGCCTAAATTAAAACTTGGGAACTAAAATTAAAAATAAAATGTTAAAATTATCCATACAATAATAGAAACTTGAGGCATATTATATTAAAAGTTAAATTATACTTTTGATATTTTATTTTTGTCGATTTATAATTTTTATTTTTTTAATTTTAAAATAAAGATATTTATAATTAGTCCTTTTAATTTAAAAATATAAACTTAATTTTAGTCATCTACTAAATTGACATCTATAAATTATTAAATTTTAAACATTTATTTAGTTAAGTGATACGATATTTAGTAACATAACATTTGGTGATAAAAAAAAAATTAAAAATATCTATATAAAATTTATCAACAAAATAAATACTAATTACTTGTTAAAATAGATACAAACAAAAATATTTTGTATGATAGTTTTTTAATCTTTAATCATATATATCACATCATTTAACGATCAACAAATTGATATTAGGACAAATTTTTTGTATTTTTAAAAATAGAGAGAATAAATATTTTTATTTTAAGATAGAAGGACCAAAATTACGAATTGATAAAAATTAGAGGAATTAAAATACAATTTAACTTAGATTAAAATAAAAATTGAAAAATAAAAATAAAAATTTAAGCGATATTAAATTATATTAATTTTTTAATTAAAAGTAGTTTAAATTTACCCTAGAAATTTAATTAACTAATTATTTAAAAAAAATGTCCTAAAATATGACACTTAACGGAAAAATAAATGAAAGAATAATTGAAAATAACGTAAGAAAGAAAATAAAGATTAGGTTGT